TTTGTCTCTTCCAACCGGATATTATCCAACTATCAGTAAAACTTTCAAATTGTTACACAAATAGTCAAATACATCATTTTATTTCAAATAGAATTCGCCGGATGACTTGTAAATGCCTTGACAAGTGACCGAGTGTAAACAAAATTAGGGACACCCAAACATCAGTTGACCAGTTAACTGGTCATAGCATTTACATTGGGCCCTGTACAGGTAAGTGAGGTAGAGATTTAATTAATTAACTAATTTAATTGAGGGTAACTGTCTGAATCTGATGGGATGTCAACTCAATTGTCTGCGGTTAACAGATTTAGTTTGAAGTAGCAACTGGTTTCTCAGACTGGAAATTATTCAAGCACTGAATATAATTAGGAATGTAAACACAGTCTTCGTTGGAATTATATCTGAATGAGTCAGAATGTGGAGAGGTCAAGATATTTAAGCTTGTGACAGTTTTCTCGTGATGTCTTTTCATTTAAACACTTACAACTTAATGTATCATAAAACATCTTCAACTTTCACTGTAACCGTAACTGGGTTACCAGTAACCGTATTTTTACTGGCTGCATACTTTTTAATGATAATGTTCATTCTGGACTGATCGTAAAGATAGTGTCCCAAGACCAGAAGAATGTTGGACGCCAGTAATACCACCCAGATGATAAACATAACAAGCTCTGTGATCTGCCTCTCCAGTGTCATAGCAACCAGTCCTAGCAATATTGTGACCAGCCAGTACCCAATTGTAATGTTGTATATTCGCTCCTTTCGCGCTTGGTAATTTGTTAAGTCTACCATGTACTGTTTTATTCTGCTGTTGGCCATGTTTTTAACTGAGATTGAACGATCTATTTTTTCGCTTTTCTCCAGGATTATACATGATTTATCGCGGAAAATGGCGAGTTGTTCGGCTTTGATCGACTTGTCTTCCGGTTCTTTCAAAGGAGTTTTTATGCTGATTTTTGTCTCAGATTTGTTAGTTTGGGCACTATCTTTCCTCACGTTAGAAGTCATGGTTGTGGTGCTTTGGATAATAATCTGATTGTTATTTCCGTCCATACTTTAGAAAAAGGCATCGATCACAACAAATCTAAGCTTAAATTAGATATCCGACATAATGCAGAAAGTTACAAAGCAAGCAGAAAATAACACTGCACTATACAGACTTGCATGATATGTTCGCAGTTTTTAATTCGCTTTGATCTGTGATCAGCAGAATTAGATTTAACTGGTGAACGACATATAACAAAAATTCAACTAAAAGGCCCTATGTTGAGTGATAACAGTATTAAATATCCACGCACAGCGGCTATACGTCTACTACTAGCTTTGCCTATAATACTAGTGTACTTATTACTAATAGTGTAAAACTGATTACGGAGGCCGAGGGGGGGGGGGGGGGGGGGAGGGGGGTTCAAAAATCACGTAATCACTTTTTTGTTCAAAAAGTGATTACGTAATATGTGAACGACTCTAACAATTTTTAAAAATTCTTGTGAAAGGCCCCGAGTAGAGGGTGTGAAAGTGATCTATTTCGATGTATTTTTTGGACGCTGATTCCGAATCACCCCCCCCCCCCCCCCATGACGCAGAGTAAAAATGTTTTCCTTGATCAGAAAGGTATGGCAAAAAACTATTTTGATCACGTGACAGGCGAGTAAAACATGAATTCGATTATATTTATTTAGGGCTCCGGTTAGGCCTAAGGTTAAGTTAGAGTTAGGTTTATAGATAGCTTCAGAGTTATGGTTATGTGTTATGGTTAGGATTAGAGTTTATGTAGAACCGTTTTGTACGGCTGCAAAACCGTGGCCGTAAAAACCAAAGTCACGTGATAATTTTTGGGTGAGCGAATCAGTAAAATCAATATTTATATTTTATGCAATATCTTTGTCGCATATGAGTGGAGTAGTACTAGTAATAAAATATTAATACTGTGTTTCGTTTGCACATGTTCTGTATTAAATTTTAGCGTTTTTGCAACTATAAGTATAAGTATCGTAAAAATCGTACGTTTTTATTTTATTTTTGTAGCAAGATGCACTACTGGGCCGCGCATCAAATAATGTTTCTTGCACAACTAGACTGGGCCACGTCGAGCTGCGAAGGATTGAAATCGTCAATCAACTATCGCCCTCAAAGTCAAACCCTAAATTGTAATTCACTAATTATTTGTCAAATCGTTACGTGGCTATACCATATCTGATATCCTATATCCACCGCTGCGAACTGGTAACTTGTGTGTGGCAGGCCCATATCAGTGACTGATATCACGTGGACAAGATTACTGTTACATTTTACCTAGCTTGCTAGTCTATTGCCAGCTCCTCTAACGTATATCCTGTATGCAGGATCTCGGAAAGAGCGCCGCGCATAGAAACACGCACGCCTGGTAAGGTTACATTCATAACCTCACGGCAAATTTACAAGAAATTAACGTGTATTGGGTGTATTTATAATACACGTGACTTTTAGAATTAAACCACTCTGTGTAGTGTGGTTTATAAACCTATACACACTACACGGAGTGGTTTAATTCTAATAGTCACCAAGGCTTTATTATATTTACTAACTTATATCTCACTCGACTATACCTTATCGGACCTTATTTGGACGGACATTACTTGAACGCTGGAGGCCCTAGCGTTCATCTTAATGTCCGTTCAAATAAAGTCCGTTCAATTAATGTCCGTCCAAGTTAAAGTCCGTTGAAATTATTTCAAAAATTTTTTCATTTCGAACTTTTTGTCCAGAATATGACAACTTTGAGAACTTTATTGTGCCGTAAGTTAACGACGGAAAGGTTCTCTTTGGTCTGCCGGAGGCACAGAAAACTCTGCTAGTACCTTAGTTCCCAAAAATTTGTGTGCCATTATATTGAGCACAATTTATTTGAGCCCGAAAATTTTGGGCAGAAAATTTGAACTCATTTGGGCGACCGAAAATTTGGGCACAAATTCTTCGAAAAATGAACGATTTTCCACTAAAATTTCAGTTAAATATTTGCCTTAGTTCATTATTATTCCTTATTATTCCAGTTATTTTGCTTTCAATTTTAAGCATGTAGGTGGTAGTCTGAGTTGTTTCACATTATGAAATTTACGATCTGCCCAGTAACTACTAAAAAATACAGTGATGATGGCACAGTACAAAATGATAGATATACAATAGTGATATTTAGTCTCTCAATCAGATAGTTTAGTCTACTTACACTTAGCATATCTTATCATACCCCTTTCACATACAATGATCATTATGACGCCTCACCAGATAAGGAAAGGCTTTGAGAAGTCGGGTATAACTGATACTTGTAGATCAGACTTTACGGTGGATGATAATTCATTTGCAGATCTTGTTTAAATCTCTAGCTATCCGTACCTCTAGCCATTTGTTTTATTAGTAGCTGTTAGCTATTCCTGTTATTTCTATTCATTTAAAATATAAGCCTTTTTACTTGGTCAAGCCATGAATGACAGATTAGAAAACTAAAATTTAAAATATTATTTCACTTGGATATGAAGAAAAAGCCATCTTTCTATAGATTTCAGGGCCACAGGCCAAATGCCAAAAGTTTGGTTAGCAACAAATTTAGCAGACGGAAAAGATTTATGCAATTAATTTGGTCTGCAAAAAAATTGGGCGAGAGGCCCGCTCAAATTTTTTGTCGCCCAAATTTTTGGGAATTAAGGTATATGATATTTTCAAGGCTCACTTGGCGGAAAAATGTCAACGAAATTATGGCACTCAACAACATAGTTCATGAACTAGTCCCCGCCAACATGACAAACTTGTTCCAGCCTCTAGATATTAGTATTACGGTAAATCGTGTTTCCAAGGACATTGCCCGACGTTGTTATAGTTCATATTACTCGGGTGCGGTAATGAAACAGTGCTAGAAAAGCTCCACGTGATGTTAAGGTTAACCTTAAGTTGTCTAAGATAAAACCACTTCACGCCGAATGGCTTGTAAAAGTTAACACTGAAATGCAGGACCGGGGTAGTTTGATAAAAAAGGTTTCCATAAACTTAAAGCTGGAAATCACTGATGCTTTAAGTTTAAACATGGACTATTTCAAGCACGAAACCCCATTTGATGAAGATGATATGTGATATTAGACACTGATCAAGTACACTTTTTTACTGCTCAATGACTGCTTTTCTTACTTACTGTATAAAAAATGGATTTAAAAATCATTTGCTGAAATTTAAAAAACGTCAACAAAATTGAAAAAATTCGGATTTTTGATGGTTTTGAATGCCTTCGAGCGTTCATATTAATGTCCGTTCATAATTATGTCCGTTCATGTAATGTCCGTCCAAATAATGTCCGATAAGGTATCTTTTATAAACAACAAAAAACACTTCGTAATTTAGGTTTGTGAAAACAATTCTCATAACAACAAATTCAATTGAAGAAAAATTCTAGGTCCAATCAATATCAAAGCTTCATACCTATCAGTATAATAATATGTATATCTATGCATCAATTAATGTCAGCCTATTATTATATATGTTATAATAAAAGAAGAGCCCAATAGAGCCATCTGTACAACTCAATATTAATCAACTCCACGAATCGGAAAACGGTGACATATCACGCATGGAACAAATGAAATCCCCTTGTACATGTAGTCACACTTGAATCTGCTACTTATAGACCTGACTACTAAGGGAGCAAACCAAAAATCATTTAAAAAATCATTTAAAAATCATATAGCAGGTCATGTTGTGAATTGAAGCTGGAAAATCCGACATAATTTTAATTCCCGGTTAAGCAAATGTCTGCTTCACAATTTAAAGTGACGAAACATGGAATTACATTCCGCGAATTCATGTATCATCTTAAAAATGGGATACATCCACCCGGGCCCTCTTTCGTGCAAACCAAAATGATTCCAAAAATAAGTAGTTATGTTAATGGCGTGGTCTTATGACTTAAAATGTTCTAATCTATGACAACCCTAAATAGATGAAACCTTAAAATAGCAAAAAAAACATTCTAATCGATTCAAACTGATTATTTCTAATTCAGTTAATAACATACACATCATTACGTACAATAATAAGTAGTTGTCGAACTAAGGTGAAATTTATCATTCCATTCTCGGTACGCAAATTGTAAACATTCCCCACTAAACGATTATTTGATTATCATTATTTACCACAAAGTTAATTATCTAATTAAATGTATTTACATTGGTAAACGCAGTTGAACGCTCCTTATAGTGGATGGCAAATTAACGCATCATTTTGTGGTGGTAAATTTTATCCCAAAAGTTGCCAACATCGGTAAGAAATTTGACTACTTTAATAAGAAAAAAGTTCTCCGCCGCAAAACGGTGCAGAAATATCATCTCTTACCTACTATACAGAAAGACGTGACAGTTACATCAGAGAGCTTCATAAATTCTAAAATAATTTACTCGACAATACACCTAGCCCGGCTCGACAAGCCATTAAATGAAACCTAAACTCTGCAAAATGCAAAAAAAAACTTCAGCTCAAGAAGTAGCCGTCCTTTTGAGGCCCACTGGATGCGAGGGAGACCTCTGGAGCGCGCGCGGGAGAGGCAGCGCGCGTATATCCTTAGCGAGCTGGGCTGCGTTGGGACGAGAGTGTGGATCATTTGTCCAGCAGGAGAGAAGAAGTCGACTCATATCAGCTGAGGAACTGGACACATCAGGAACCAGTCCTTTGGAGAGATGCCACCATACCTTGTAAGGGGTTGGGTGAGATAGGTTATTAATACAAATACGAGCTGTTCATTTATCAGCCATCATTTTACTGTAACAGTAATAAGAAAGATGGAGAAATGTTTATTGAGATTGGTACCTGTTCAGGACTGTGACCTGGCCAAGGCCAGTGTCCAGCTAGGATCTCATACCAAACAGTGCCCAGAGCATACACGTCTGTAGACTCTGATAACTCTATCTCGCCCTTCTCTTTACCTGGGAACACGAGTTACATTAGGGGACAAGAGAGTACATATTTAGCATATTAAGCATTATGACATGTGGCCCTGTCAGTATTTAACCATAATATGCCTCGGAAACAGACTTTCTGCCACATTTTACCGTGCTCGTATTTACAATTACAGACCAGACGTAAATACTGGTGATCGAACATCTAATGATACCATTATTCCTTCAAGATGAATAATTTTCATTCTTGTCCGCCCAAAACTACATGACAACAGCAAATTATACAATGAACTGTTAATCGAAGTGGAATTTTAAAATGTAAACAGTGGATAAAAATTCCGATGGGAACAACTTGGAATAGTCACAGCTGATAAAATGAAGACAGTGGAATGGGCTGAGTCCAATAAAATGTAACATATGTTATTTGGTGCCACGCGGAGTCACTACAATTAAAAATGAAACACACCCTCGCTTAGATGAAGCACTGTATTTAAAAATGAAATTCGGTAATTCAAAAGATTATGTTCACACGAAATTAATTAAATTATTACCTGCGACGACAGCTTGAAGTTTTCTTATAATCTCCGGAGCAAGGTAATACAGGTTCACATTAAACAAAACCTGAAAATAAAAGAGTAAACATCATAACCCATACAATATAACATCTCTTATAAATACAGTACAACATAATCCCTCAAGATGTTCAATTTTGTGCTCGTTTTATTGGCAAACTTCACTACAACAGTCTGCACTTGGGCGGATTCAAACTCATCCGGAACAATTCTAGATAATTCCACACCCCCACACACAATTGTGAATCGTGTGCGCATGTATTGTTGGCTGAATTCTTGTAGTGTTGAACAATACTGACCGACCACACAAGTAAATTAGCTTTGAACAATAGGCAGCGGTTTGTGTTACTGTTCTTGAAAGGGCTGGGTCGGATGAGTTACCAAACTCCACTCCGTTACAGTCTCATTTGTTATGATGGGGGTAGTTTCAGCCGAACAAGATATCCTTAAATCGTGGGCTACAGCTGTAGTTCTTGTAGCTGGATTTTTCGTTTTAAAAAGATTTGTCTTGCCGAGGCTACGGTGGTTTAAAGATTTGAAGGTTATCGTGGGCTGGTTGCGGTTGCTTCCACATTATTACCGCCTACGTGATATAAGAGGTAATAGTCATGGATCTGACGACATTCCCGTCTATATAACTTCCGCCCCGGGGTTTGAGACTTGGAATACCTCAAGGGACCCATTAGAAACAAATTTGGCTTGGGTAGAAATTTTGGCTATGGGGCAGTTTTGCGCAATTGACCACGCCCTTTTTTGGCGCTTTTGCAACTTTAGAATCAAAATAACTCCGCTTCTAATTGAAATTAGAAGCTCAGCTTGGCTTTAAAGTTGTTCAGAATCATCACATTTAGGGGGGGTAGAGCATAATTTTAAAGTCAACAGACATCGGGTTGTTGAGTTATGTGACCACACCCTTATTTACCCTCGCGAGTCGTGATTTTCACACTAAATACGAGATATCTCGGCTTCTGATTGAGCTACGTGCTCATCCTGGGCATTAAAATGTTCAGAATCATCACATTGAGTAGGGTAGACCACAATTTCAAAGTCCTCAGATGTCAGGTTGTTGAGTTATTAGGCCCCAACCTGTTTTTACGCTCTCGCGGGTAGCGATTGCAGCGATTAAAATCAAAATAACTCAGCTTCCAATTGAAGTTAGGAGCAATACTCGGGCAGCAAAATGTTCACAATCGTCACATTGAGTGGGGTAGAACGTAGTTTCAAAGTCCTCAGACGTTAGGTTGTTGAGTTATTAGGCCCACACCATAATATTTACGCTCTCGCGAGTCGCGAGTGGACACTTAAAATCAAAATAACTCGGCTTCTGATTAGAGTTAGGAACAAAACTTGGGCATGGAAATGTTCAGAATTATCATATTAAGTGGGGTAGAACGTGGTTTCAAAGTCCACAGACGTCAGGTTGTTGAGTTATTAGGCCCCAACCTGTTTTTACGCTCTCGCGGGTAGCGATTGCAGCGCTTAAAATCAAAATAACTCAGCTTCCAATTGAAGTTAGGAGCAAAACTCGGGCAGCAAACTGTTCACAATCATCACATTGAGTGGGGTAGAACGTAGTTTCAAAGTCCTCAGACGTCAGGTTGTTGAGTTATTAGGCCCACACCATCATATTTACGCTCTCGCGAGTCGTGAGTCGACACTTAAAATCAAAATAACTCGGCTTCTGATTAGAGTTAGGAACTAAACTTGGGCATAAAAATGTTCAGAATCATCACATTGAGTGGGATAAAACGTAGTTTCAAAGTCCTCAGACGTCAGGTTGTTGAGTTATTAGGCGGAACCCTATTTTTACGCTCTCGCGAGTCGCGAGTCGACACTTAAAATCAAGATAACTCGGTTCCTGATTAGAGTTAGGAACAAAACTTGGGCATGGAAATGTTTAGAATTATCATATTGAGTGGGGTAGAACCTGGTTAAGTTATTAGGCGGAACCCTATTTTTACGCTCTCGCAAGTAGTGATTCTATATGCTTAAAATCAAAATAACTCTGCTCCTGATTAGAGTTAGGAATTAAACTTTGGCATAGAAATGTCCAGAATTGTGAACATTTTTATGCCCAAGTTTAGTTCCTAATTCTAATCAGACGCCGAGTTATTTTGATTTTAAGTGTCGACTCGCGACTTGCGAGAGAGTAAATATTATGGTGTGGGCCTAATAACTCAACAACCTGACGTCTGAGGACTTTGAAACTACGTTCTATCCCACTCAATGTGATGATTCTGAACATTTTTATGCCCAAGTTTAGTTCCTAACTATAATCAGAAGCCGAGTTAATTTGATTTTAAGTGTCGACTCGCGACTCGCGAGAGCATAAAAATAGGGTTCCGCCTAATAACTCAACAACCTGACGTCTGAGGACTTTGAAACCACGTTCTACCCCACTCAATATGATAATTCTGAACATTTCCATGCCCAAGTTTTGTTCCTAACTCTAATCAGGAACCGAGTTATCTTGATTTTAAGTGTCGACTTGCGACTCGAGAGAGCGTAAAAATAGGGTTCCGCCTAATAACTCAACAACCTGACCTCTGAGGACTTTGAAACTACGTTCTATCCCACTCAATGTGATGATTCTGAACATTTTTATGCCCAAGTTTAGTTCCTAACTCTAATCAGAAGCCGAGTTATTTTGATTTTAAGTGTCGACTCGCGACTCGCGAGAGCGTAAATATGATGGTGTGGGCCTAATAACTCAACAACCTGACGTCTGAGGACTTTGAAACTACGTTCTACCCCACTCAATGTGATGATTGTGAACAGTTTGCTGCCCGAGTTTTGCTCCTAACTTCAATTGGAAGCTGAGTTATTTTGATTTTAAGCGCTGCAATCGCTACCCGCGAGAGCGTAAAAACAGGTTGGGGCCTAATAACTCAACAACCTGACGTCTGTGGACTTTGAAACCACGTTCTACCCCACTTAATATGATAATTCTGAACATTTCCATGCCCAAGTTTTGTTCCTAACTCTAATCAGAAGCCGAGTTAATTTGATTTTAAGTGTCCACTCGCGACTCGCGAGAGCGTAAATATTATGGTGTGGGCCTAATAACTCAACAACCTAACGTCTGAGGACTTTGAAACTACGTTCTACCCCACTCAATGTGATGATTGTGAACAGTTTGCTGCCCGAGTTTTGCTCCTAACTTCAATTGGAAGCTGAGTTATTTTGATTTTAAGCGCTGCAATCGCTACCCGCGAGAGCGTAAAAACAGGTTGGGGCCTAATAACTCAACAACCTGACATCTGAGGACTTTGAAATTGTGGCCTACCCTACTCAATGTGATGATTCTGAACATTTTAATGCCCAGGATGAGCACGTAGCTCAATCAGAAGCCGAGATATCTCGTATTTAGTGTGAAAATCACGACTCGCGAGGGTAAATAAGGGTGTGGTCACATAACTCAACAACCCGATGTCTGTTGACTTTAAAATTATGCTCTACCCCCCTAAATGTGATGATTCTGAACAACTTTAAAGCCAAGCTGAGCTTCTAATTCCAATTAGAAGCGGAGTTATTTTGATTGTAAAGTTGCAAAAGCGCCAAAAAAGGGCGTGGTCAATTGCGCAAAACTGCCCCATAGCCAAAATTTCTACCCAAGCCAAATTTGTTTCTAATGGGTCCCTTGAGGTATTCCAAGTCTCAAACCCCGGGGCGGAAGTTATATAGACGGGAATGTCGTCAGATCCTTGACTATAATGTTAACCTCCTTGAAATCACTAACTCTTATGAGGCTAGCGAAAATGGTTTTACATAGCTATACTACGCTATATTTTATATCAAATTTTAAAATTAAAATTGGGATTAAAAGGCACATATATTAAGCCGTAGTACATACATATTACATTACGATGAAACCTACATTGCGATTAAAACTGCGATGAAATGCCGCGCCTATATAAACGTACGCCTGTATAAATGCGCGGCATTTCATCGCAGCTTTCATCGCAATGTAGATTTCATCTCAATGTAATATGTATGTACTACGGCTTTACTCGTTCCACCCAGCGCATTTTGTTTACTGAAACGTCAAGGTAGCGACGTGGTCGATGCTTTAAAAAGGATCATCTACAATCGTCTACCTTTCACCCCAGATTTTGGTTTTTTTGTATTATTTGTTCCGTTCAGGACCTGTTGTTTGGTCAGAAGTGGTGAGGAAATACGGCGAGAGACCTTTCGTATGGAGTCTCACCTACTCACAGGTACATACATGAACACTAGGTCACACCAGATCACACCAGATCACACCAGATCACACCAGATCACACCAGATCACACCAGATCACACCAGATCACACCAGATCACACCTGGAATCAATCATATAATTACACTTTGAAGATAATAAGAAAACGTGAATTAGAAATCATTTTGTTTTCTGCGGTGTCTAATTGAAAGTACTCCTCTTTTTAGGTGGACGATTGGTGCTCAGAATTACAGAGAGAAGTGTTCAGCGATGTCGAGATAGGTCGACCCTTCGGAGTGTTTATAGACGATGCAAAGCTAGGCGTTATCACCTATATGACAGGCAAGTTAAACTGGAATGATAAATTGTCACACAATCAGTGCCGAGCATTTTAGATTCTCACGAGAACCAGTTATCATATTATTACAAGTGCTATAACAACAATGGCATATAGTGCCATACTTTGAACTAAGGTATAATTCCAATTTATTGGATTTTCCTAGAGAAACAATCATTGACACGACATCAGCTGACTCATGTTGATGTATTTCGGAAATAAAAGCAAAAAAATTGCGGCCCGAACATTCGTACAATCATCAGAACTGTTTAAAACATTTTCAGGTTTAAAGTTGGGTGTGCCTCTCATCTTGTACCACCTAAGAGCAGTTGGAGACCTCCTACATCATCAAATATCTCAAGTTCCAGAGGTTAAGTACATGTTAGTCTCCGCAGGTAGAATACCCCAGATTCAAGATGCTGCACCCGACTGGGTGGTGAAGAATAATTTATGGGACAAATCACTGAGGTTCAGGTCTTTGTGTGTGCTTGAGAGAGTCGGGGAGGAGATGGAAGGATCAGAGGACGTTTCGGGTGGGAGTGATGGGGAAGAAGAGGAGCGGGAAGGGGAAGTGATCGAACAGATAATAGATATTGAAAGTGAAACTGTTGCAGAATTAATCGAAAAAGTCGAGGAAGAAACTGATAGAATTGATGAAGATAATCCTAGTGAACAAGAAACTGATTTCAGAAAGAAATATGATAACGTATTCTTAGTACACTTCACCAGCGGAAGCACAGGACTCTCAAAAGGGACCATGCTTAAAGCCAACAAGTGTGCTCTGATGGGACATCGTGTTGCTCAGGAGTTGGGTCTAACGTCACATGACGTCATCATGACCGTATCCCCGCATGCACGAATGACATGGAATTACGCTGTCGCCCTAGCAACCGGGTGTGCCCTACAGCCGAACATGGCAGCGCATGACGCGCCCGCTAGTAAGCATTTATATATTTGTAACAATTCACTTGTTTGATAAGCTGATAAAATACTGAAATACGGATAATATAATATGATGTTTTATAGACCAGTGTACGGTATTATAGATAAGTGTTGTTTTGGAGCGTTGTTTACCATAACCCTACCCTGCAGACGTTAAAGCCACAGTAATATACACTGGCTATGAGACGACGTTTGACATGGTGGAAAGTCTTGAGAAAAAGAGACGTAGCATCTCAAACGTCAGGTTTAGAAAACGATTTGATTTTGTAATTAAATCTTTATCTTACGATATTTTCATGCCTACCGAGTAAGCGGCAAGGAAACCTAAGCTGAAGGATCATACAAGGCCAGCTTTTCTTCACCAAAGGTTTCGTTACACAAACCCCAATCACAGTTCACACTCGGTGGTGTGTGTTGCTCGGACACACAACACAGCAATAACATTAAATTTAATAATCCCGAAATTATCAATTAACTAATTAATTAGTAATTAATAACCTCCAAATATGGACAGGATGTGGCTAGTGACTGGGTTTCCAGGGGATACGGCTGACAGAATCAGGGCTCAGCTCCCCAAACTCAAACTGTTAAATCACTATGGACAGAGTGAGGGAGTGGTGGGTTTGTTTGGAGATGGATACAATGTTCTCTCGTGTGGGTACCGCACCAAGCACTTCATCACCTCCCCTGTTCAGGTTGGTGGAGCTGCTGCTTTCTTCTTTTCAGTCCTTACCATCATGTCAACATATTAGTAAACTGTACTGTGTTGAACCATATAATTCCACCTTTTAGTGTAAGTGTTTAAAATGTAATTAGAGAACCTATAGTGCAGACAAGAAAAGCTTTGTAATTTGTTCATAGTAGCAATGTGTAAAGTGGCTTACTCAGGGGAGGGGGGATGTCTGGAATGGCCGAAATTTGGCTAACGTGGAGGTAATACTAATACTACTACTGAATATGTAAACGTTATATTTTAACAATTTCGATCGTGCTAGATCGTCAAAACAGTATTTTTCAGCTGTTAACATTTGACGAGAATGAGAGTGTTATCAGAGACTCTATCACGGGGTTGTGTATTCCTGGTAACATGGGACTTCTGGTAAAGAGGAGGAATAAATACTCTCAGAGGAACAAATATGTTGGGATACCAGGTCTGTTATTATAACCAAGAATCATCAAACTTAATTACATCAAGTTGCGCGGTTTTTCATTTAACATTTAAATCTGAATCAGCTTCAAATATTGACCAATCAAAACCCCAAAATCACTGTCACGTGTCAAAAATATGCCTCATCTCCCCCCACCAGAACCTATAATGCACTACTTCAGAAGAGAAAAGCCTGGTGAGGGATGTGGTAGTACTGGGGGATGTGTACGAGTGTACTGGTGACATTATGAGAGATGATGGCAATGGCAACCTTTACTTTATCAAAAGAGTTGGAGATAACTTCAGGTAAGCTTTTCAGTGGTAGATCTGGTGATCTTCATAAAACCATTCCCAAATATCTGAGAATACAATGCGTAATTAATCGAGCATAAAACGGAATTTTTACACTGGAAGTATAACCCAATATTGAAGATTCGCGGTAATATGCCCTCCGAATGGTTCCGATTATTTTAAATCTATCTTGTAGCCATATCAGTACCCACCAACAAAGCTTTGGAACACTGATCGTATAATTAACTCCCCCTCAGATATAAGAATCAGAACAGCTCCTGTGAGCACCTCGAGAGACTTGTGTATCAGAGAGCCGAGGTGCGGTGCTGTGCGGTCTATGCAGTCATACATCCTGACTACCACAACCGAATCGGTCAGTGAAAAGCACAAACTTTTAAATACGTTTTCAGCCCCATTGTTTTCTATCAGGTGACAGAGCTTCGTAAGTCTACCAACGATATCTGACATATCAGCGAGCTGATCTAAAAACTGGTGTGGATGTTTTCTTCAATGCTGAAAGCTGATAAATTAATCACTACCCCATGTCAGTAAATATAATCCATCTCCCCTTAAGTACCCAGATCGTAACCTCTTCTCTCCCCAGGAATGGCAGCAATCCAACTACACCGTCACGTGAACACCACACCCAAGTCCTTCTTCATCTCCCTCTTCCACTACCTTGACAACAACTTCGACGTGAAGCCCCTTTTTATCAGGCTGGTGAAGGAGTTCGCGTACCTGGAGACCGGTAAGATCGATAAGATGAAGTTGCGGAGCGAGGGGTTTAAAGTGGAGGGTGTGTACGTGTGTGATGAGAACAAGAGAACCTTCCTACCCTTTACTTGTCCTCTCAGATTACTCTCTGAAGAGCAGGACTTTGTAGAGTAGTATTGTAGAGTATTGTAGAGTATTGTAGAATGTAGAGTATTGTAGAGTATTGTTGTAGAGTAGATACTTGATTCGTGGCTTTATTTTCGATTTTTGTGTTTATTTCTTAATCGTAATTCGTAACAGGAGTGGCGATTGGGATTTTGTGTGTTGATTTTGAGTTTAAGATGTATTTTGATTTAATTTTGCCAGACAATAAAAACGGTCATATCATGAATTATCTTTAAAACTACAATAAATTGCTATGATACAAATAAAATTATGCAGAAACAAATAACATCATGTACACACTATGTACATCAAAAATAAAACGTTATCTCGTTAAATAAAAGAATGCAGACTGCATACCGTCCATTGTAATTGGGTGGATACTTAAATACCATGTATTCCATGAAATGGAATCCCTTAACATGTCATGAACTAATGTTTCTAACATTACTAAGGTTTTCAACTTAATCTATGAAAGTCCCATATCCACAAAGTTGGCAAACCCACCAGATATCTGGGAGGAAATTTGGGAAGAATGAGGAAATTTTTGGCATCTGAGAGGAAATTTCTTGGTTAGCGACTGAAAATTGCAGTCCGCAAAGAGCAGTTCAATCATTGGGTATCGAGAGGAAATTTTTCCTCTCTAAATGACTTAAAATTCGTGCCATCTTTAATTTTAATCTGTCCAATGTTTTGAATCCAAAATATTACCGAGTGTCTAATCAACTACTTTGAACCTTCTCTATTGATATCCTATTGGTTTAGCATATAATCCAGTTAAAATTTTCCGGGGGCTGCGCCCCCGAGCCCCCTTAAAATATTACTAATAACCAAGTGTCTAATCAACTGTTTTGAACCTTCTGTATTGATATCCTATTGGTTTAGCATATAATCCAGTTAAAATTTTCCGGGGGCTGCGCCCCCGAGCCCCTGCCGCAGTAGCCTCGGAGCCGACGCTTCGCGCCGACTCCTCGCCCACCCCTTCTAAAAATCCTGCGCACGCCCCTGTTGGAAAAGTAACTTAGCCGCTGCGAGCGAAGCGAGCGGGCCACAGAAGGGTCTGAAAATGGGTTTGGGAGGAAATTTTTAATTATGTGGATATGGGATGAAAGTTGAAACTACCCTAAAATGAACCTAAAAATATGATTAAAACCAGCCCCTCCGTCATTTCAACGCTAAAGGTCCCGTATCAAGTTCCTAAGGTGTATCTTATACTTAGTAAAACTGGACACAACATCCTCGAACTCCAGGTCGGTGTTGGTGCTTCTCACTTCTCTCATTCCTCCCCCACACCTAGCTTCCAGTCTGTTCAAATTGAGCAGTGTTACTCCGACGTGTCTCAATAAGCTCGCTCTGTCTGTATAGTCAGCATATTCGTAAAACTCCTTCGCTGCGTCGGTCTCGCTGTCCAATATCGCCTCAGCAAACCGCTTCCCCTCTCTCAGCATGGTACCGAAATCAGATGCTTCCAGGGTGAGGAGAGCCTGAGCTAGGTCGAAGTAGTTTAGAGGACCAGAGTAGTTCTCCTGGACACGTGCCAGGAGTGTGCCGATAACCCACTGCTCGTAGTGCAACTTGTGGAGGTAACTTTGTTGTGTTTCGATCGTACAGCTGATAGCTAACGTTCCGGGCATCAACACCAGGTAAACAAGAACAAGGGGAGCAAGAAACAGTCTCATAGTTCAAAGTGTTTGTAGTGAATTTGTGAGGTCGATTGAAATAGTGCCTCCTAGAGAAGGAGTGACCCCTTTTATATGGAGCTTGCTTTTCAAAGCGAAAGTCGTTTATTATGAGTTACCGAATATCGTTTTAAATTAGCTAATAGCCAGCATATCATTTTTTAAATCGTTCGTTGCGGCAAAATAGTACCGTTTTGAGATTAGTGCATGCCAGCTGCGTAATACAACGACAACATAATACCGAACAATGCAAATGACCAACATTTTTTATTTGGATGCTTCATACAATGGTCTGACCTCCCAAAAGTCTAGGGATTTGATTTAATTTCGGAAAAGGTGGCTTCAAATGTATTTAGCGATGGGAAGTGACGCCATGTTTCATACGAAAGCGATTTTAAGACCATTTAGTTGATAAGGATATGCATGTGAGACTTAGTATTCATGTTGTAGTTAAAATACAAGGTCAGCTATTTTATTGAGTACATGGGTCTTAAAGATTTTAATAAATCACTCCACGTGACAGAAGCAAAAGTATCCTGATTCTTAAAAGATTGATCTGCTCGTCAAAGCTACAAATGAGCGAGCTATGTTAGTAGTAGTGATTCATAAGCTATTTGAGAGAAATGGCGTAGTTGTATTGCATATTTTTATAATACAAAATAACCTCAATATCAATTTAAATGTTTAAATTTGCTATAGCCTATAAGTAATTACTGATAAATTGAGATGCTGTCTTGTGTCTGCGTTCAGAGCGCAGACACAACGGCTCAAGGAGCAGGTAACATGCATCATGACACGTGACACGTGCGTCATGCCACGTCACGTGAATCATGTCGTGTGACTTAAAATATAAATAGACCATTTTCAATTCCGTTTGGACCGTACAGATATTATGAAAGTAGAAAGTCGAGATTTTGCTTTTCTCGCTCTCAATTTGGTGAACGAGAGATAGCGTGCAGGCGAAGGATACTCTGGCTTTCAGCCGATTTGTATTGGAGCACGTCATTAATCGAACAGAGATGAGAACAATGCAGAAACATACAATGCAGAAACATGCAAAAGTAGAGATCTTATCTGGAAGACCGCCGATCCTGCATTAATTAATGAGCTTACTGGTGGATTTATGATATCTTTGGAATGTTCGGGATCGATTAGAGCTTATTTCTGTTCCGGATTGACGACCACCGGACCTACAAACATGGCACGAACACCGGCTCTTTAGGAATACCACTTAACCGCTAGTTATAGTCATTATCCTAAATCCACTTCTCATGCAGTCGGAAACATTGGGAACATTGTGTAAAGTAAGTGTAACATATACGTAGTAATGAATCATCAAGAAACTAAAAACATATTGCACGACAAATGTCAAAGGAATACATCGAAATAAACCAACCTCGAAGCCCTTCTCTCCTTTTTTCAGCTTGAGATCAGTCATGCTGCCCAAACCAAAGTCGCATATCACGGCTTTCTTGTCGTTGAGATGGATGTTTTTACTCTTCAAGTTTTTGTGGATTATTCCTCTGTGATGTAAATAACCCAACGCTGCCGAGACCTGACGGATAAAAAAATTGGGATATTTGTTGACAGTATAGCCTACGAAGAATAATACGATCAAGTTAAAGTTTCTAAACATCTCTTTCACTTTTGCTCAAATTTCAATAATCTCAAAATCACATTATAGCTTTATAGTCTGACAGACTTATTAGCAAATTTTCCACAGAGAAAATAAATTCAGACAACATTTCGACCGTACCTGTTCCATAATCTGCATGCTCTGTCGCTCTGTGTACGCCTTGCCCCGTTCGTGTATGTAAAAGTGTAAGCTCTTGCCCTTGATGTACTCCGTAACAATACACAAGTTTGGTGGGTTCATGCAAACTCCCATGAACAGGACGATGTTCTCGTGGCGGACTTTACGCAACATCTGTACCTGGAGTGTTGCCAATTTATTGCTAGTCAGCTTTAATCGTATTATAAATTAGTATCATGAGTATAAATATGTGGCGAACTTTCAACTACAAACGACCTCATGGAAAATAGCGTTTATTACTGAATAATCAGCTCAATATAAGCTAAAGAACTAATTACTAATTACTGATAGTAATTACTAATTACCTCTCTTCTGAACTGAGCCAACTGCTCTTTGGTGGGATGTGGAATGTGGTAGATCTTAATTACCACGTCACCGTGCCACTTCCCTTCGTAAACCTGTAATACGACAGTGTTTTCATATCATGATTTAAATCTTGTGCCAGAAGTGTCAACTGTCACTTTTAATCTTTTAGAATATTATTATTGAGCATTATTACTGTTTAGAACATTATTACTGTTTCGGGTTTGGATGGCAGAAAAAACACCAAAAATAAACCTTGAAATCACTTAAATTTTCAAACCTTATGTTATATTCCACATATAATTAATCAATTAAGTCGTGAATCTAACTAATTATGCCAATAATCGCTTCATTTACCTGCCCAGTCCTGCCGTCACCAATCTTTTTGCCGATGATCAGCTCCTCGAAGTTAATTCCCCAGTCACTGATCACACTCTTCCTCAGGAAACGTTTCCTTGTCGGAAGAGTGTTCTGTTTCGGCTGCTCAGTGCCTAATTCGTCGAATTCTTCGTCTTCCTCTTCTGGTGTGGGGACGAGGAATATGTGATTATTTGTGAATATATGCGAATATGCAAGGGAGTATCATATGTGCTCATATTTGCTGAAAAATAGAAAAGTATTACTCTTGAAGAGATGAAATGTGTTTCTCAATATCATGCTGTTTCATGTTCGTTTAGAAAAAGTTAAAAGATGGGTAATTTTTCATTTTAAGAGGAAGAAAGAAAGTGTCAACATTGAGGAGATGCGTAAAGTAGAATATCTAAGATCGCAATTGTAGGAATCTGATCCGTAACCCCGTTGGGGTTCCTTTAAAGTACAGATCATTATGCAAGACTATGGAAGTCATGGAATTCACAGAATCTTTTCATCATTTGCATGATCTGTTAATGAGCTGTAAATAAGAAATATTGACTTAATTAAATGCAATACGATACAGGATATCTTGTATCATAGTACTTAATTGATCTCAAGGATTGAAGAATTAAAATAATCAAGATCAAAATCAAACAACCCACAAACACATGAATATACGATTTGCTTTCAAACCCACGGGAATTTATTTTTATTCACCACTCAAAACATCCCAAGAATGCCAAATTCCAAGAGGGGAAAACACGTAAAAAATGCGTAACACCACGTGCACAAAGACCACGTGCACATGAATACCACTTGCCTATGTACTCAGGATACCAGCTTGCCATAAGCCAATTCAGTTCTGGGTTGAAGAACTTAAGACGTCTTGTTTGATTAAACACGTTCTCGATATTCAGATCGATTTAATCATTTACGTGTATTAATTAATTAAATAATCACGAATCAAACAGTAATTGATTAAATAGTAATTTTCAAGTTTAATGAAGAAACTGCTGAAAATTTTAGATCAAAGATTAATAGTTGAATGGATCACAAAAATCTTACTGTATCAAATTAGAATAATCATTTATTAATCATTTAATCATTTATTTAGTTATTAAGTTTTACAATACATCTAAACACGTATTCAAGTGATCACGAACGCATGCATGAGTGCTTGTTACGTCACACTGGGACACTTGAACATTCCCACAACACAAAACAAACTTTCCTCTTTCCTGATATCTCCTTCTCCCGGATATTATTGCCCTTTCAAAAACGTTTCCCTTTTCCAAAAATAATTTCCCGTTCCCTGTTTGTTTTGCAAAGGATATACCCATTTCCCTAGAAATCCCCATAAATTTTCTCGTTCACTGGAAATACAACATTTCCCATTACTTCATGTTTACAAAAAATATCCCCTTTACTCTCCTTTTCCCGAGATTATTTTTGGGAATATTTCCCGATTTTTCGCTTACCGTGTTCGCTGATCTCCTCGCTCTCGTCGTCTTCTTCCATGTCGAACACTGGCTTTATCGTCATCGTCACATCCTCCATGTCAACAGAGGGTGATGAAACACTGAAAACAGGGCCAAGTCTTGTTTGAAAATCACTTAAAACCTCGAATTTCGTCGTATAAATGTGACAAGCTAGAGTGACTCTATCCAAATTTCAATATTTTCACTGTAAAAACTAACCTGGGTGTAACGTTTACAGTAGCCATGGCGGTGGTTTTCTTCGTGTGGGATTGATATGGCGAGGAGTAAGCTGCAGGAATATTATTCGTATCAGTTGGCAAATAATTTACAGGCTTAAACAAACACGAAACCATCAAAAGAGAACATCGTTAAGAATTTATCGATTAGATATTTGTAAATACCACAACTTTTATCAAGAACCTTCAGGACAAACTTGAGGAAAATCCCTCACAATTTATAACGTAGACTGCTAGACTAACCAGGTGCATGTGCAGTTGGGGTACCAGGGGACACTCCTGGAGGGAGACTCTTACTTCCTCCCTCAAACGGTGGCGACTGGTTTAGCATGTTACCCGACGCCGGCGGAGACTGATTCATCATGTTGCCAGTTGTTGAGCTCATAATGTTGCCCGTAGTACCATGTGTAGATTGACACTGGTCCGGAAATGTGAAGTGTTGGCTGAAAGGGATGTTGTGTGAGGAACTGGTAGAGATATAGCTCTGGATACTGGTGGGGAGGTGTACCATTTTATATGACACGTGGCAGCGTTTACCCAATCAGTTTCTAGCATTGACCAATCAAAATCGATGATTACTGTCACGTTTCAAAATATATATGGTTCAACTCCCTACCAGTATCTTGATCTATAGGAGACTACTTAATCTTTGAAAATTGACATGAAGATAAAGGTATTGGACAGATACCATCTTCAGCAAGATTTAAATATTTAGTAACTGTACATCAATCGATTTTGTAACAGGTTAATTGTTTTCCTTGGCAAACAAAACTATGAAAAGCTTGCTTTAGCAGTAGCTGATAGCATATATTTTGTCCTCATTTATAATAGCACCAAATTTCCCATGGATCAAATTCAGCGTGAATTATGTCAAGATTTGATTGCACTATGTACAATTTACATTATATTTTTACACCAAATTTGTACATCATATTTACAAATTTTACAATTATAAGTATTCAACGAACAATTACAATTAAAGGTAAAAACAAACAAACAAACTATGTAACTCGTAACAGAGCTTTGCTTATCATCCAATCTGCAAAAGACATATCGATATCGATATCAAAATGCTCCATACTTAACTCAGTGGATCTTCAGTGGGTTTGGACTTTGATTAACGACTTAGGTGGGTCGTGTCACGTACAATCCGGCCAAATCACACTCTCCAAAATAACGTGCAACTTAACCGAACCGCACTAAATCACATGTTATTTAACCGAATCGCCCGAAATTACATATAATCTAGAACCGAACCTCACTGAAGTCAGGCCGAACCCACTGAAACCCCCTTGAGCTACGACGAAATTCTGAGATCAGTGATTCGAACAAAAAGCTCCACCACATTTCAATTTGCATGTCACATGTACACTGTAAAACAACATCAAAATTGTAATAATAATAATAATAATAAAACGAGCTGCATATAATATGTGGCTTCAGCAGACGGGGATGTGGTACATACGGAGAGGAACTTATGGTGAGTTCCTTCATTGTATAGTTGGACGACTTGGGGACTCCTATTTTGTGGACCAGCCTCCTGGCGGGACGGGTTAATGGGCGGGACGGTAATTAACTAATTAACCGGCTAATTATTTAATTACAGTAATCAGTTTGTTAGCTTGTTTTATTATGAAGATAACAGTGATACGATTCATGTTTCTAAAACTATCCAATACATCCTAAACAAGGCATTAAAATAGCCGAGAAGATTTAAACGTATTCTCATGACGAGGACACTATTACTTACTGCTTGTTTTTGGAAGAGCAAGGAGCGGAAGCGGGAGGGGTAAGTGGAGGGGTGTTGATGGGCCCCAATCCCGGGGAGGCGGGGGTTGAGATGTTCTGGGCTGAGGGTGATAACGCTGCTTGTACAGTGCTGGATCGCTGTGTCTGAAAGTGAGATGGTTAGTCACGTGGGAGACAAGGTTGTTAGGAATCGTTCACATATAATTAAGGTTGTTAGTTCAAGGATGAGGACTGAGGATTGAGGGGTAGCTATGTTCAAAGGGGGTAGCTATGTTCAAAGTGGTGTAATTAGTGCGCTGTGTGTATGGGGAATCTGAACGTAAATTGTTTTTTTCATGAGTACGACTCGTTTCCAGATAGAACACCTGTGCAGCTGTCCCCACGGGAGCTCATTACTGGTCCCAAAACATGATCAATATAGCGATGAGGCTGCAAGGCTAGTTCTAAGATTAAATGAACGCAATATTTTAGCGACCATTACATGTCTGAACATTAACTGATCCACGAAATAAGTTGAGTTATCAAGCCTGTTGCCCCACCTGCAAATACTTTGTCATTTTTATAAGCTTAATATTTTCAATGATGGTAAAGTAAGTTAAAAACGTAATCCACGAGAGCTGGTAAGGCTGCTCTATAATCACCACGTGCAAGCTTAATGAGTTTACAACTTATAAGTAATGTAATTAAACTTGCCTTTAATTAGCCTGGTGCAGCTGCCTTGATTTTATAAATATACTTTTCAAAATATCTTTTACAATATTATACGAGGTCACTACCTTATATTTCCTAACGACGATGTTTGAAGCTAGTACTTACCTTTTATATCATTAACATAAAGTATAAACACTAAGCAGGCTACTGATGGTTAAACATTGATCAAACCATAAATTGTAACTTCAGATTATATATTATAAAGCGTATATTATTGCCCACGTTAAGGGGCCTGTTAATAATTTATTAAATTATTAGCTATTTTAGATTTAATAATAATATATATATCCATTGGTTCTGTTAAAAATAAAAAGTTTATATCCGTGTCTTCAGAAATATTTTTCTGTGTTCATTACACCAAAAAAACAATATCCTTCATATGGACAATTTATGTGCACAACTAAGCTTTTATTTTAATATTAAGAGCTTCAATGTTAACATTTCTCCTTAACAAATGCCTACGACCTATTCTATGATCTTCAAAAGGTTATATCAAGGTTAATGTGTTATTTTGTTACACCTAGGCTCTTATCAGTCGTGTAGCAAAGCTTTCCTTCTCCACTTCCTGCACAATAACTGTTTCTCATATATAACTCCTCATTTCACTTCAGGATGTCAGATTATCAGACCCCAAGACTGCCTGAGAATGCGCAAATAATCTATGGATTTCAGATAGCCTGGGAACAAATAAGTTTTATTTTGGGAGTTTCAGGAAACGTTTTTGTCTTGTATGCTACCATAGCTCACAAAGCCATTAAACTGGACAAAATATCCCTCTGGATCATCAAGAATCTAGCAGTAGCTGATATTGGAAACTGTGTCCTAGTTCTACTGCCTATATTGTTTACTCAGTACGGAAAACTAGACGAGGTGCTGGTATTTGGATCACAAAACGACTTTTATTATATACTTGGAAGCTACATAAATTCATTTTTTGTAGCCAATATTGTATTGATTGACATTCTATCACTGAACAAGCTTCTGAGGTGCATTTACCCACTGAGAAACCTATACACAACTAAAAGTCAGCGTATTAAGGTTACTGCACTCACAATCTCTTTAAGCATGGTGCCTCTAATGTGGAATATTTCTGGATTTCTGGATGGTTTTTTGATTTTGAAAGACTATTGGAAACATCGTTCCTATCTGGGTGCACGAGCAATCGTTGACCGAAAAATTCTTGACAATTGGCCAATCGTGGAGGTCATTAACAACATTTTGATCAGTTTCTTTATTGCACTCCCCAGCCTTGCACTGATCATTTTTAACTCAGCTATGGTGGCCTTTGCAATACAGAGATCAAACACTGCAATAAATAAGAGGAATCTCATCACAGTGATAATAGTTACAGCTGTCTTTTTAATATCATTTATTCCTGATTTAGCTTACACGCTATCGGGTAAATCACCTGAAAGTGAATATGGCGAGTTTGTTTATTCATTAACCTTGTTGTCATGCTGGACGAACCCGTTCATCTATCTAGCTGTCAACCCAAGATTCAGAGAGTTCACAAAGAAGAGACTCTTTTGCAGAAGAAGCAAGGTTCAACAGGTCCAACCAGGTCGTGTTGTTATAGTGATTCCTCCAATAAACACAGTGTTTGCAAATGTAGCAGTAACGGAACAGAGCACAGTCTGTTAAAGCGTAAAACATATGCTAGATATGTTATCTAACATTATAATTGCAATTATGTATCATTACAACATGTAGTTAAATGTATAATATATATGCTGTAAGCAGGAAAACTTCTCTCCCTTTTAGCTTCTGGTTCATAGAGTTGCTATTGGTTAGCGAAGGACTTTCTCGACTAATAGGTATAACAAGGGACTTTAATATATTTTAGAGTATATTTTGTTGTGCAATAATTATATTATCCAAATTATCATTGTACATATTTATCTTAACTTATTATAAAACCCAATTATGCTTTTCACGTTGATCACTTAGCTACTTTGATCCAATCTAAGTTATACTGATATCTGGATATTATCCGGTTGGAAGAGACAAGGACAAGTGAAACAAGGAAGTTAGGAGTAAGGGCAAATTTTCGGCGTCAACGCCATCTTCAGGCTCAATAAATGTATTTAATTGTAGTTGTGAAAATAGTTTAAAACTATTTTCACAACTACAATTAAATACATTTATTGAGCCTGAAGATGGCGTTGACGCCGAAAATTTGCCCTTACTCCTAACTTCCTTGTTTCACTTGTCCTTGTCTCTTCCAACCGGATAATATCCAGATATCAGTATTTCAATCATGAGACTAATAAACAGCGAACTACTCCGTTATTTGATAATCTAAGTTATATCCTTGTTTTATCTTGTAACCTAAATTTTAGATCGGCCACGCAATAAAAAAAGATGAAACAGGAAACATAACACATATTACATACATGATTATATCTATAATATTATATTTTAAACTTGACGAAATCTCCCCGGCAACAAAAAACCGCAGTAGTTACAGATATCTACAGCATTACCGGTTGCTGACTTTTATACCTGATGAATTGCTTACTGAACCGACAGCAACCCACTTAGTACTTCACAGGCAGGTAATGGGATCGCGTGGACACCCCTATCGAGTGACGATGCATCTTCCAGAGGATCACCTTATTATTTCAGTAATTTGAGTTACGAAAACTCACTTTTGGAGAGATGTGATACGCTGACATGCCACGACAGCTTAGGTACGAGGAATTGCCACGAGGGCAGGAAAATCATCGAGGAGCCAGAATTTTGAGATATTTTAACGGTTTTGCAGATTTTTATTTAGTCATTATATGGTTTACAGACTCTTGTTTAAATTTGTTTTAGTAGAACTGTTTGACTCCTGTTTATATTGTTTGTAGTGGCGGTTTTATTGTTGTGTATAGATATTTCGACTGAGTGCAGATACCTGATATTTTAGTTTCAGTATTATTATATTTCAGTCCATTCTTCCTCTGATTTTATGTGTCAGCACTCAGCAGTAAACATTTTAAATTATATTTAGTTTTTTAGAGGGTGAGATGTTGTACTCTCCTTTCAAGAGTGTACACGTCATTGTAGACTACTAGCTCTTCTTCCTATGTGGTTATTGGCCTTTTGTTATTAACCTCATTACAAACGGTTAGTAAGCTGTTTCCACCTCACTTTCCTTAATTAGGCTTATTATATTTGTCACCTCTTTTGTTTACTCTACAGATTGACATGTTTAGTTATACCCCATTTGGATGATGTTAGTTTAAGATCTTATTACGTGACCGGCATATGTGTCTCGTGAATAGTAGTATTTAGAGGCAGTTAGAGAGACTGCCGGGGCTCTTTCTTAGGTACGGGTTTCTTACTGTATTACTCTTGATACATTTTATATCTCCTATTTTAACCACAAGTTTCTTTTGTACCCCATACTTTACACTTCCTGTGGTAATTTTGGATATGCAATATGCATAATAACTGTTTCTCATAACTCCTCATTTCAACTCAGGATGTCAGATTATCAGACCCTAAGACTGCCTGAGAATGCGCAAATAATCTATGGATTCGAGATAGCATGGGAACAAATAAGTTTTATTTTGGGAGTTTCAGGAAACTTTTTTGTCTTGTATGCTACCATAGCTCACAAAGCTATTAAACTGGACAAAATGTCCCTATGGATCATCAAGAATCTCGCATTAGCTGATATTGGAAACTGTGTTCTAGTTCTACTGCCCATTCTACTTATTCAGTATGGAAAACTAAATGGAATACTGTTTTTCGGTCCTGGTAATAGTTTTTATAAAGTACTTGGAAGCTACGTAAATTCATTTTTTGTAGCCAATATAGTATTGATAAACATTCTATCACTGAACAAGCTTCTGAGGTGCATCTATCCTCTGAGAAACCTATACACAACTCGATGTCAGCGTATTAAGGTTACTGCACTCACAATTTCGTTAAGCATAGTGCCTGTATAGTGGATTATTTATGAGTTTTCCGAAGGCTCCTTCATCCTTAATGAAGACTGGAGAAACACTGCTTACCTGGGTTCACGACACATCACTACTCCTATACATGGTGCTTCCGATGCAGATAGCACCCAAATCATAAGGGATATTCTGTATTATTTCTACGTTGCAATTCCCAGACTTACATTGATCATTTTCAACTCAGCTGTGGTGGTCTTTGCAATACAGAGATCAAACACTGCAATAAATAAGAGGAATCTCATCACAGTGATAATAGTTACAGCTGTCTTTTTAATATCATTTATTCCTGATTTAGCTTACACGCTATCGGGTAAATCAGCTGAAAGTGAATATGGCGAGTTTGTTTATTCATTAACCTTGTTGTCATGCTGGACGAACCCGTTCATCTATCTAGCTGTCAACCCAAGATTCAGAGAGTTCACAAAGAAGAGACTCTTTTGCAGAAGAAGCAAGGTTCAACAGGTCCAACCAGGTCGTGTTGTT